ACTATACTTGTAACCCCAATTAAGGGACTTATAACCTTACTTACTAAGTCCCATGATCCTCTAAGCTCTCTCGTGCTTCTAGGAAAGCGCGGTTTTGCCGGTGCAGTCAACGGCAGCTTGCTTCTAACCATCATCCTCACCCTGAACTCTCAACACCCCCAGTCTCAAAAGCAAGAATAGAATCAGGAAGATACAGTGAAACATGAGAAAAACCTGGCAGCTTGCTCCTTGTGCTTAGAAGATCCAAAAAGAGTCCACCACCCCTGCCTCGAAGGAGTTCGCTGTATCAGCGGCGTGAGCGCTGGAGTGGTAGGGATTGGCTAAATACCTGGACGGGGCTGGCAGCCACAGGGAGCCGGTTGGTGAGGTGCCGGACGCGGCGCCGACTATGATTTGAGAGGGCAAATGTCACTGCGCGGTCCCTCAACGACCGTTGATGTCTGTATTGCTGCTCCTGCGAGCTGCTACCACCACCAGGGCCACCACTACCACTACGACGACGACTACTACTAGTAACTAGTACATTGACGATGCTTCCCCTCCGAAGGCATGATCGTGCGCCCTCCAAGCCTCTTTTCCATCGCATCCAGAAAAGCTGCCAGGCAACTCCTGCCGAGGTGATTTCAGCATTTCCCTTCTTGGTTTCATGGGTCCGGTAGGGCAAGCGCCTTTTCCGCCCGACGATGTCTCTAAGCACTGGCTTGTCTAGACCGGCGACCAGACACGCCAGGGAAGCCCAAACCGAAGCGTTGTGCATATGCTTTGCCGGACGCATCTACACAACAGCCGAGGTCTGGCACTGGTGGCCTCGAGATGAAAGAAACCTGGGCTGAGCAGAGCGTGAATCCTGCCTGCCACACCTCTGAAATCTGCCAAATCCCCACCCGAAACACTGACCCTTCAATGGCACGATCTCACTGTGTACTGCTTTCTTGCTTATGGGTAAATGGATGGACGGAGGATGGAGGGATGGATGGGTGGGCAGCCAGGTATAAATAGATATGTCAACAGATGATCGGATGGATGGATGGCTGGCTGGCTGGGTGGGTGGGTAGGGACAAGCTTATAAATGCGCACGCACACACACACACACACCGACGCCCGATCCTTTCTGCCTGCATACATCGGTGCATACAATTCCTTCATTCATGTGTGCATACTTGCTTCTTTGCTTACTTCTGTGCAACTGTCCCCAGAAACGTGCACGATTGTTGGACAGACATTCAAACGGCGTTCCAGCTTTGACATAAGCCCCGGCAGGTGACCTTCCCGATCAACTCCGTGCCGACGATCTTCAGCACGGAGCCATGCTCGCGGGCCTCGGGAGAATTAGCAGTAACCTGGATGGTTGCCGAAGGAGGGCGCCAACCTTTCCCGTTCACCTGCGGAATTCGCACGCATGCCCCACACTTTAAATTCCCAACGGCAAGTGACTATGAGGACATGAAGGAAGTTTATGCCCAAAGGATGCGAACCCATTGGCTCTCAGACTTTCGGTCTCTCCTTGCTCCGAGGGACAACTTCGTTGGCATCAAAGCACCACATTCCCACCTTCGGAGACTTCGCGGCTCGAGTCGAGGGGCCAGAAGGGGCTTGCTGGATCAGTAACTATGAACGTCTTCCTGTGTCTGCGATTTTCTTTAGGATTCGACAGCCCTTGTAGGACAGTGCAGCCTTCCAGGATGGGATCGTGGCGAAAACCACTCGGAAGTGAACCCAGACGCAGGCATTCCAAGAGGCCTTGAGCTGCTTGACAACTGCCTCGGAGCTTGTTTCAAGGATTCAACATGCTGCATGGACCCTGTCTCAAACACCTTCACTTACACAACATTACCAAAGAGCCGGCTTCTGCGCTCTGCTCACTACGCTGCCGACTCAAAGGCAATTCCAGCGACCAGGGTGCTGGAGTAAGCCTCTGGATGTACAGCGAACTCTCCGCTGGTTCCAGATGGAAGCTCTCGTCTCCCTGCGATCCGAACTTCATCGGAAAGCTTCATCATACGTGCAAGTGGAAAAGCAGTAGTCCCGCGAGACAAGAATCAGGGATCAGGGCCAAGCGATAGAAAGTTCTCATGATGATTCTGCTGGTGCAGGAGAATTACCATTGTTACCAACACCATTACGATCAACATCATGCAGCAAGACCGTGTCATCACTACAAGCGTGAGCATCATGAATCATGTCCATCATCTTCTTAGTCTTTGTCTACATCCAATCTTGGTTGACTTCTGAACCCCTCCAAAAAGTTAAACTTTTAGTCTCCTTATTATAGTTACATAGAAACCCAAAAAGTTAAAGTCCTAAGAGCCAACCAGACTAACACCAAGCAATGAGTAGAACACGAGGGCCACGAGGGTTGAGAGCCTGGGGCCGTCTGAACCCACAAGCCACACGCCAAAGTCAGCCGGCCCAGCCGGCGCGCCCCGGCGCGCCTGTATTCGATTCAACTCGGGTTCCGGGCCCAGCTCCGCGAGCTCCTGGTCCGCCTCGCTACTGTGCTCGTGCTGCAAAGTTCCGAGTTGTCGGCAGACACGAACAGAGAGAGCAAGTCAAAAACACACTCCACGTCCACACCTGACCTCCCCCTGCGAAGCCCTGAAACTCCCACGCTGAAGGTTTGCACTGCCTCGCCTCCCTCGACTGGGACTTCTCCAGCAGTCCATACTCCAATCTGGGCATGGCACTTGAATGGTGTGACTGGCTTGGCTCCCAGACACTGCAGGCAGGGAGCAAGATGCAAGATGCAGAGTGCAGAAGAAGGTCCAAGCAAAATCTGGTTGATTGCCGGGAAGATTGGTCCTGGCCTTTTTGCTTTGTGACTGCGAAGGTTTTGCAGCAAAGGCGCATGCTCCCGGAGGTCCCAGACCGGCCGATGCTACCGATCCAACCAGCGACGTTCTGGTCCCGGAGCTCCGAGGCTTCCTCACCGAACGACGATGGTTTCCCTCCAGAGCCTCGAACTCCATGGTCGAGGAGGGAAGCTGCCATCCCTTACAACTTACAACTCACTTCAGATTGAAGCCCGAGTTGTCCTGCAGCTCTCGCTGCTGCGCAGTCTGCGACTGGAGCTGATGGGCGCACATGGACACGGCCTCGAAGAGTAGATGAGGGATCGTCAGTGAATGCTTGCTCAGCCACACCCCAGAACGTCGGACCATGTTTGGACCGCTTATGCCGCTTATGCCCTCAGAGACCATGCTGCGCACGCCAGTTTGCAGAAGCTTGAAAGCCAAATGCATGCTCAAACTGACAAAACTAACTGAGTCCCTCAATTCAACGCATGACTCAACCAGGGTCCTACGTACTCCTATACCTGATCCAATTTCATCTCCCGCGGCGTGCAGCAGGGGTTCGGCAAGCAGTGCTGCCTGCACGGCACAGGGCTTCAGGTCGTGCCTTAGAGCCTTCGCCTCTCGGCTGTAGCAAAAAACACATCCCTAAGTAGCCCCCAAGGTCCCAGAGGGCCCCAAAGCCAAGAGGAGAGGGCCAAGGAAGGCCAAAGCTTTGGCCCCACCTGGGCCGAGGCCCAGGGAGATCGCTGCAAAGCTTCAAAGGCCCGCTCAAAATGCCGCCTCCAGCGGAGGGGACTTTGTGAGTCACAGACTTCTACAGCACGTGTGTAAGACTCCCAAGAAGCTGAGGGCGTCTTCCTTCTTGAGGGTTTGGGGCTTCGGAGCTTCAGGCTTAAGTCCAGGAGAGCCTTAGGGTTTAGAGAGTCGGATCCCGGAGAAGTCTCCTGAGTTCAAGCATCACATAAGCTCTATAGCCTGTGGGAAGATTTCTAGAATGGAAGTCAACATAATCCCTCTCAGCAACATTAACTACCAGCTACGAAGCGAGCTGTAAAGAACCTCAGGGTGAACATGAACCCAAGATTGCAAAAACTCTGCTTCCACCCGACACTTCAACCCGCAGCGGCCAATGTCAAGGCCTCTGTGCCTCCGAATAGGCGACTGCCTCTCCAGCGGGCAATGGATTTGAGGGTTTCCTGCGCACTTTTCCTGCACACCTCACGTGATCCTTTGAGAGCAGACCCCCCATGGCGGCTCTGGGGGGCTTTTTGGTCCTCTAACTTGTCGCGCGCGGAAGAGCTCTCTCCCTCCCGGTCGGCCTGGTCTGCGCTGGTGGCCACGCGGAGGGAGGGCATCGACTCCTCCAGGAGCCGAGAGAGCAGAAGACCTAGAAGAGGGCTTTGGGGCATATTACACTATAATTATAACAAGGAACCCCCAAACCCTAGCCTAGAGAGGCGGAAGAGAACTCTAAGCTTCAAAACAAACACCGCTGGGAATCACTGCAGGACAGAGCCTTGCCGCGCTTTCTGTGCAGGCTTTCGCCGAAACGGAGCCCAATCCCGCTTGCTTCTCTGACTTTTTGCTTCAAGCATCGCTGCCTGTGTCGACTGGCCAGGATCTGCGAGAACCCACTGCCAAGAACCCCACGCACTTGCCACGGCACTGCAAAGCCTCAAGCCTTGCACACCATTCTAATTCGAAGCCCTTGCAAATCTTCAAAACAAAGCCTCGCTCCTGGAGGCTCTGCAGCTTCACAATGGCAGCATACATGCAAAGCTCGCTGTGGCGCCTCCGAGATCCAACGGTTCCCGAATTTGGAAGCCGAACACACTCTTACACTTTACCGTCACGGAAGGGCACCTCCACTGCAGTGCACTCAGCGCGGCGTTCAGCAGCCTCGAATTCGGATCCATGTCAAACAAACATGACCGCAAGGGCCTGAACTAGCAGGTCGTACTCTGGGAATGAGCTAATCATGGCAACTACGCAGCAGACGCCAATCTGAAAAGCTCAATGTGAACACACAGGCCAGCAAAATACGAAAGATGAGAGCATCTGCAAGAGGGTAGCACATCCCGAACATCGAACCACCGGGAAGGCAGAGCACGTGCACGTCGGGAAGGATCCCATTAGGTTGAACAATGATGAGATGCAACAGAGCTTTGCATCCTTCGCGAGGCAGGCAGGCAGCAGGCAGGTAGGTAGGCAGGCAGGTGGGTGGGTGGGTGGGTAGGTCGGTGGGTAGGTAGGTAGGTCGAGGTAGGCAGGCAGGTCGGCAGAACACTTAGCTGCAACTTGTCTGTTAGATGTAACTTTTCAGCTCTTTCAGCCAAATGACTTTTAGTTGTACCTTTTCTTGGGCTCCGAAAAACAGGGTTGCAAAACAGGCATCTTAGTTGTAGTTGGTGTCTTCAGCACCAAGCCACTAACTTTTTATGGTGTAATAATTGTTTCGGTCAAGGGTTCCTGCTGGATTCACTCATTAGGGTTTTCGTCTTCGGGAAAAGGTTCCTGCTGGATTCACTCCTTAGGGTTTTCGCCTTGGGAATTCACTCCTTAAGGTTTTCGGGTATTCACTCTTTAGGGTGTTCGTTTTGGGCTACGCTCGCATGATCGTCGAATGAGCTCGATCCCTCCTCTTATCCAAAGCCTGACTGCCGGGTTGGTTGTGTAGTGGGGGTAGGTGGGATAGGGGCAGGTGGGGTAGTGGGGGTAGGCTAGGCGGGTGGACTAGGTGGGGTAGGTGGGGCAGGTGGGGTCCGTAGGAAAAAAGCCAAACTTACAACTAAGCCTGCTAGCGGTTCGGTCGGTGTGCTCTGTTCAGCCTTGTGCTTGTGCGTACGTGTGTCCAGGCTTTCTCGCCCCCAAACGTTGGCCAAGCTGCGCCAGCAGCAGTCCGGGAAGCCATGGCCCACTCAGGCCCAAAAGCAAGCCTGTGCCGCGTACCCTCACCAAAACTGGCAGACTCCGACATGTCACTGGGCCAAACTTCTAGATCCACTCCACCTCCAGGCCCTCGTGCTTGCAAGCGCCAGCTCCCGCAGGTCTCACCTCATGCCGAGTTCTACTTTCTGCATCCTTCACTGACAAGGCTTCGACAGTCTTTTCGCTATCTTGGACGCCCCGGCATTCCACGAGCCAAGGTGGGCACAATACGGATTTCGGATTTACGCCTCGCAGACCACCAACTCGGACCAGAACCAGTGCGCACGCACGCACGTACGCACACCCCTCTGAGAAAGCACAGGCATGCGACGGCCACGACGAACGCTCGTCACTCACAATTCGGAGATCGCGGTCTCCAAGAGACTGAACGCTGAGCTTTGGGCGACGCGAAACATCCGAGGGCGTGGCATGGCAGCCACAGGCCCAGTGCGAGGTGCTGCAGTGCTGCAATCCTGAGCATGTAGGAACGAGCAAATCGGCGGAAGTGCGTCTCCCGAACCATGAACACGTCTTTCCGAAGGCTCGGTCATGTGCAAAGGCACACGGAGGGAGGGGGAGAGAGAGAGCGAGAAAACAAAAAGAGCAGGACAAAAGCAAAAAGAGGGCAAGCCAACTAACATGCGCGCGTGTGTTCGGAAATTTTCTGAATCAAAACTGCCTATGTCAGGGGGCCTTACCACGGATTGACGAAACCTACCCCCAGGCCTGAACGGATGAGCAATCAATGATAGTCAACCAAGCCACTGCCCAACCAGTGCAAATAGCAGCGGCGGCAATCGCCTCGGTGGTTCAGCGGGGCGAACGAGGGCGTTGAGGCTTTCACGGCTTACGACCGTTAGGGGGTTTATGGTTTGCGGCTACGGCTAGGGATGCCCGGGTTGTCCTTTGCGACTTCAGGTTTACACAATTTTGCTTGAGCGGTTGCAAACATGGGCTTCGGGTTTAAGAAAGCCTTAGGCACACCCAAAGACCCCCGTCTCTTAGAAGCTACCAAGGCTTTTGCTAGCTGGGGCTTGGGAAAGCTATCTCAAGGCAAGCCAAGTCTACACCCTCCATCGATTCCCTAATCTTATCATTGTTTGTCTGCAGCGGGATGGTACCCTCCGAGCCCTTCGCTGCGAGTCCTTGAAGGCACCCTGATGAAGGTCGAAAGCTGTTCTGAGGCCGTGGACCAGAGCTGAATCCGTGCCAGGAAACGAGAAGAAAGCTGCGACTGCCAGCAGAACAGAAATCCAGAGAGCTGCAAAGGGCTCCTGCGTGGCGAAAGCCGGAAGACTATCGAGGGCGGAGGGCCAGAAGCAATTGCTCTCGGGCTTCAGACCTCTGAAACTGCCCGAAGCCTCGTAAAATTCTTCAGCAAGGCGAGTCGCTGCCATGGACAAGAGAAGGCACCTAGGTCTGCTTTGTCTGACAGGGCTGTGCCGTGTTGGCTAAAAGGGTGCTAGCTGCTAGTTTCATCCCAATTCAAAGCTGAAGTCTTTAGCCGAACAGAGACTTGGACAAGAGTCAACAGCCAGAGCCACAGCGAACCGGCAAAGGAGAAAAGAATCGTGGTCTGCTTGGACTCCGGGTGTCGCCTCGAGTGCGGGCGGGGGGGTCGCGGTTGGGAATTGTTGCGACGTGGAATCTGGGAAGAGACCTGGGAATTGACGGAGCCAAGGACTGGCAGACTCTGCTATTTCAGCTTCTAAACAGGCCGAGCTTCTCCAGTAAGACAGCTAGTCCTGCAGAGCAAGGGGCAACGATGGCTGATGTCTTTAGGTACTGTAGGTGTGACGTTTGGCGGTCCGACAGATACTGTGGCTGGCACGTTGCTGTACCACAAACTCTGCTTCTTGCCTTTGCACATGTTTCGGAGCCGTGCCGACCTTTGCAAGTTTAGCGCATGCCATGTTGCCCAGATTTCTTACCCATTGTCCCTCCTGGCTTAGGGGGTTCAATGCTGGCTCACGTCGCCATGTTGTCAACGGCTGGTGCTACCGTCTATATTATTATTGCTCGCTGCTTGTTCTGAACACTGGCCTTGAAAGCCCGCTTCATGGTAAATGCTTGGAGTGTCGCTGACGGGGCATGATTTTTTCTCTCCTCCAGAATGGCTTTGAAGCAAATCTCACTTCTGCACGCTAAATTCGGCTCAATCTTATCTGTAGCTCGACCTCGTCGATGTGTGCAAGCATCCACGAATGTATCGATTCAACAACATATCCCCGTTTCCGTCCTAGTGAGCTGCCTGTTTACATGGCTACCCGTCTTCTCCCTCTTCAGCACGGGCAAGGGGCGGTGTGTTCGACAGCCGCTTCAGCGACCGGCTGTGAACTCAAGCCCCACCTGTCCTACTCCCA